GGAACACACACGCCAATTAATGGCAAAGAACCGAAACACTAAACATCTTGTTACAATGATTATTTATTAAATTTAAAATATCTTTAGCACAGATTAAAAATCAGACACCTGCAACTATCATGGTGGTCATGAATTGCAAATAAACATTCCTAAAAAACCAGTCGCTCTTCCTCCACCGGATCCATGATCTCCTTCGTAGAATAGTCTCTGGGTTTGTTGTAATGTACAGGGGATTGCATAGGGCTGAGGCAAAGCTGAGCGCAATACTCACGTCCACCACTGCATGGCCATGACCTGCGACACACACAACCAGCCTTGCGTTTGGCTGTTACAGTCAGGAAACCAGGATACACTTCATAACTGACAATAAATACCAATAAAATACACATAATTATGAAGGTTCTGAGCATATGAGGTTTGGTTTTGAAATGTAGGTCCATCCTGACGATAATGTGTTTGCCTCAACCCTCGTACACAAACGTCTGAAGGATAACAAGAAACATGGGAAAAACAGTGGGAATGACAGCCAGATCAAACCGCTTATACCCAAATAATCAAATAAAAAGCACAATTTCTCACATCCGTTTATGAGATCATGTTTATTCGACCAATCGTTTTTTTCTTAATTCAGTTTTTTTTTAGCACATGCCATATGCGATTTTGATTATAAAAGTACCTGAAACAATTGCTAGAGTGTCAGCATGCATAGCTGTTGGATATTTACAGATGTATGTACAACACAGCGGAGGAGGACGATCTCTCACGACAATGTCTTCTACTTAGTGCATGCAGTTCAACAACAGAGGGATATTACTGAGGTGATCAGATCCTGATGCTCCCGATACTGGGAGTGAGTGTGTGTGTGTGTGTGTTGGAGAAACTACAGTACATGGGAGAAGGTTCACGCCCGGTTACTAACGTCTGCCAACTGGAAACCCTCAGCCGGCTCTGGACTTTAATACTGATGGTAAAAGAGGAGTCCAGTCACGATTTGTACACTAATCACCAGGGGTGAGCGAGCAAAGACGTCGTAGGGAACATGAAACACGCGTTTATCAAAAGAAGCACGCTTACACTACACTCTAACCAGACACTATGAACATTTTCCATGTTAAATATACAATTATGCGGAGCAGGTTTTTAGACCAATGAGATTTGACGATGGGCGGGGCTTCCCATCACAAAACCAAGCAAGGAAAAGTCCTATTGTTTTATGATATCATCTCCATTAGTTATTGCTGAACAAAACTACTTATTTGGATCTGTCTGCGTGAGGTTTCATATTGAACATTGCCTTTGAATACAGGAAGACGTTATTTCTTATTGCAGGACTTCTGAGATAATGGAAGTATCTTGTGTCCATTTCTGGCCTTTGTTTCTTGCTTTATATTTAAAAGAGGATGCATGTGTTGCTCTTTGTTTGTCTCTGCTTTGGTTGTCAGTATTGCTGCAAGAATGATCAAACCGTTCTGATATGGTTCATTTAGGTATTGAATACTTCAGGTTGTTGCCCAAATTCAGAACAGCAATGCTAACTATATAATTGTGCATAGTTAGCATCGTGTTTATCAGTTGCTTGTCTTTTGATATTGCCGTCAAATGTCACGTGTCCAATTAATTCATGGATCACTTAGAAAAAACCCAACAGACCTCATCCCCATCTTTGGAAAAAACATGGACCAAACACACATTTTGTACGACACACAGTTGGGATGTCACTAAAGTCTTGGGTCCTGAACCAGAAGCCCTGCTTTAACTGATCGCTATCTAATGCGTTTTATCATCGGTCCAAAAGGGCCGTGAGGGTCAAGCGCCGGGAGCTTCGGCATAACGGCAATAAGATCCATGTTCTCTTATTCAGTCTGACAATCCAATCTCCCACCGCTAAATACACCAAAGCGGGAGGCTCATGGTTAGAAACCCTATTATTGTCCCACTGCTGACGGATAAAGGAAACGGTGTTCCAGTCTACAGCCTCGATGGATCAATCGCAGATCTATATTTAGTGGAGGTGCATCTGAGAGAGCTTGATGGGAATGTATTCAAAGTTCTAATAAAGCACATGTACTAAACCCCAACTGAACAATCAAGCCGACTGTATGGCGAGCATATCCGAGTCGGGCTGTAATTCAGGTGGCGATTACTGTAATAGTCTCCTAAGCTAACCGCTAGCTCTGTTTCAGTTGGCGGCTCTTAAATGGGGCTGCTGGGATTTAACCATGTGTTCTCCCCGCATCTCACATCCGCTAGGAAGACTTTGGAAATGGGCTAAAGCGCATTTGGATGTGGCTTCGTGTTCATCTCAGCCCATTGTTTGGCTAAGGGACGGCAGCGCGCTAGCCAGCGCTGAAATCGCACTCCACATCCATTAGCGCTGGTAATCTCAGTCACGCTAGTCTTCACAGTGTGTCATTACAGAAGGCATTAGCAGAGCCAAGTAGCGTGATGCAATGGAGCTTGAGAGGAGTGTATTAGCGTTAACTTTGAGCTGTCGGGCACTGTATTCTAATCAAAGTGAGGCGACAACAAGGACACGTGAAGAACATGACGTTTTTTTTGAGAGAAAACCCCTTCTTGAACTAGCCTGAGGTTTTTTGCCAGACACCAAGCTGGTATTCAGTGGTAAACCAGATGCGAGACCAGCTAAACCACATCAGGCTGTTTTTGTTGGCTAAAATAAAAAGTTTGTTTCAGCTTTAGCTTTGAAGTTGTAAAATATTGGGGCATTATGAAAATCTATATCCCGGGTTTGGATTTCAGAGCACATTTGTTATTCCTAACGAGCTAATCGAAAGCTACGAGGCATTTTGGGTAATTTGCTCAATCAGAACATCACCTCAATAGCCAGGGAAATATTTTCACACAGCTTTGAACGAGTGCAAACTCTTTTTTTGTGCATGTAACGACGTTAAATGCAATTACAAGAGCAGTGCATCTTTGCATATTGACTCGCCGCGTAGGGTTCGCTAGAGGGCTTGAGTGACATTTTTCTGTCCTTTCATATTCCCAGCTTCAAATATGTATTAACTTATCACTGCACAAGCAGGTAAGACTCCGGAAAGATCCATCCTTTTGATGTCATGTTTATTGCCGCACTAACCAAAGCAACATGCAGCATCTGTGTACTTCAAAAGACGCTCGGCCCGACACACACACACACAGAGAAAAACACACAAACTAGAGTTAAATGGGGATGAGCGCACTGAATATCTGACTACAGCCTTGGCTTTCTTCCTGCAAGTTTGTGTGTGTGTGTTTCTAACAAGCGTTCTGTCGCAGTCTTTGCCAGCTTGAGCTACAGCTGTTGATTTGGCTCCTTAAACGAGCCAATGTCTTTGTACTGTTGCGCTCGTGTGTGTTTGCGTTCTGTTTAAAGAGTTGGCCATCGGTGTAAACGTCTGCCATGCGATCTCCTAAACGTTGGCCTGCGCTTTTTTTCAGATCTGAGACGCTCCTGCACTATTTGAAGATAAAGCGGCCGTCCATTTCATGTGCGTCTCACAGAAGTTAACTTCCCGCAGAAGTCGTGTGTGAAGTAGCGCAGAGGAGGGACATAAAAAACCAGTCGGGAAACGTTTGAACCGCACGTCGGCTCTAATTCTGTCTGACATGTTTTTCTTCAGCCAGTTGAAACACCCGGGATAGCCGACCGTCCCCAACAATTAGACTCTGATCAGCCGTGCGGAAAAGTGCAGAGCATCTGTGAGACGTGAAGAGTCATTTGTTTTGGTGTAAACAATCAAACCCGAGGGCACAAACCAAATAAACCCTAAAAGAGGCTTGACCGGGGGGCGTACATGTTGTGTTTCAGACGCGAACGACTGATTTTGATGTTTTTTTTTTAACGTTAGGGGATGAGGATGGAATTGACAGACTGGCTTTTAGACCCTGGCTGAACACCGTGACGATCTTAAACTATTAAAGCTAATTAAAGAAGAAGCTAACAACAGAAAGCTAGTTTGGTGCTAATAACACACTTCAAATTCACACACCTCTTGGAAAAACGATTCCAGCATTTGCTTCCTTACTTACACTGAAAACGATCACCGTCACCAAATTTGAACTCGCCAAATGGTCTGTGTCACTTTTGTCTCCTAAGATTGACAAATCTCATTGAAAACGAACGACTTCCAGTTGCTTTGTTTGCTGTGAACCGCTGTCAGTGCGAACGGCCCCTGTATGCGCTACAGAGGATACTGGGATTTGGGTTGTGTGTCTCCAACCTGTCTTAGTGTCTTTCAATTTGATATCTTTGTGCTGGATCCCTTTTTTAAGATTTAAATGTGTGTGTGTGTGACGCCTTCTCCAGCAGTGACAGAAAGTCCCCATTGACTCAGTGACATCCAGAAATCCCTTTGACATGAGATGAATGGACAGTTTTGGCAGGCTGCCCCACAGTCATCTTTACAAGACTTCCCCAAAGCGCTGCCTTTCTGCTATGTACAGTATCTACAACTATACGGTTTGTGTGTGTTGATCATTGTCTGTGATTCTTGGCAGGTGTACAAGAGATATACAATAAACCTGCCACTTGAGTGCTTCTCAGTTCAAGTTTCTGAGATATTATATCCTGTTTTTCCTACTTATGGAGTAGTGCATGTCATTGCTATTGTTCTCCGCGGTTTTCCTGCTAACCTTTGAGTGGATTCAGACAGCGCGAGGATTGAGTCCGGCTTCAAAGCTTTTATAAAACTCGCCAGAATTGAACACCATTAACCAGCTCATCTTGGTGGTTTCTAGACTAGTATTTGGCAGGTACCTATATGACAGCATGCAGATTGTTGACAACCATTGTACAAGTACAACAGGAACTCCAATTGAACAAGCCCACAGTCTGTCCCATGGTGTCTTCTGGACCGGCGGGGTGGGGGGGGGGAGCAAGTCTCAGATGGTTAGAGGTGTCTTTGGTATTGCCGCGTCCCAGTCGCAAAAGTCTTTAGCCGGCAAGTTTGCTCACACTGCTTCAGTTTATTCTGATGTTTTTGTTTCTGTTTCCACAGCAACAGGGCGCGGCCACTACGGTGTACTGCGCCGTGGCTCCGGAGCTGGAGGGAATCGGAGGGATGTACTTCAACAACTGCTTCCGCTGCTTGCCCTCTCCGCAGGCCCAGGACACCGCCGCCGCCCTGAGCCTGTGGGAACTCAGCGAGAGGCTCATCCAGGAGAGATCCACATCCCCCTCAGGTGTCCGGACCATGTGACCCCGCGGGGTCGCCTACACGGACGCAACGGCTACGTGGAGGATTCAGGCATTGGGTAATCATTGATTGAAGGGGCAAAAACGATGAGAAGATGCAATTCTAGACTGTACAAGGATGTTGGCGAGCAAGCCCGGAGGTTATCTGAGAATCGGAAACTAGAACCACACGGGCCGGGACTTCTACAGCTGATAAAGAGATGCAGGGAGACAGCGAGAGATTCAATTCAATTGTGTCTCAAAGGCATAGTCACTCAATCCTGCATTAGGCTTTAACTAGGTCTAGATCACTCTATAAATGTCTCCTTAACAAGCAATAATGTTTGAAACGTCTTTATAAGGGGTCTATGTGGTTTAAATGGATGTTTACGGCATACAAACACTCATCTGCTCGGAGATCAATGTCAACCTTTACGTCTGTACAGATAAAAATGTTGAATAAATGTAACGGCCGCGTAACCTACAAAGACATAATGCATGAAATGTACAATTTGTGAACTATTTACAAACATGGTGTTCTCACATTGCTAAGAATAAGCCTGTATTGATATCCTGTACACAATATACACAAGCTGCTGTTTTGACCCCATCTGGCTGGATCCTCCCCACCATCTTTTATAAAACGCTGGGCTTAATGTCGAAGAACAATAAAACAGCATCTGGTACGAGAACCGGAGGGCTGACGGTGGTAGAGACACAGAAAGAGTTTGAGTCCATGTGGTGTGGAGATATCTGGTGGAAGTTCCTTTTATTGTCCGGATTGCATCATCAAACATGCAGGGATGTTTCAAGGCTTTCCTAATTTGTTTTTCATTGTTGGCGAGACATCTGACAGTAAAATCAGGGTAGAGTCAGTAGAAGGGGATTGTGGGTAAGGCTGAGGAATGGCACTCAGGTTGATAAAGGGTTTCTGATTTCTCTCAATCCTCTGTCATCTTCCTTCTCCTAATCGTTGTCTTCATCAGGGGTTGATTTTGGAGAGGTTGTGCTTTGTGGCAGTCTAGGAGCCGTGGGTCACCCTAAGCCAGAAGCGTTCCAGTGTTACACTGTCTGAAACGAAAGAGAAAATCAATTTAAAAATTGATACAAAAAACAGGATTGTATGTAGTCATAGCTGCAAATTAGTAATTCTCAGTGCTATTTATTTTGAATAATTAATTTCAATTAAAAAATATATTTTGTCTTCTTCACATCTTATAAATATAATCTTATAAATATAAATTTACATCTTACAGTATATTGTTTTTCGGCCTTAAAATAGCACTGAGAAATCGGATTCATTTTCAAGTTCAAAAATATGTTTCATCTATTAATTTTAGTCAGATTTTAGTCAGTCCCTGTGTGACATTTTTTTTCTACAACTTTTTGCTACCTACTAAAAAGTTAGATAAATATCAATATTGATTGAATCAGCTATTGATCAAACACACATCACAGCAATTATCTTAAAATGAAGTGATTTAGATATGCTTTGAGAATTTGTTTCAACAAAATTAATAAAAAGAAAACTAGGGCTGTGCAAAAATTAATTGCGATTAATCGCATCCAAAATAAAAGTCTGTGTTTGCATAATATATTTGTGTGTGCTCTATATAATTATTTTGTATATATAAATACACACACATGCATGTATATATTTAAGAATTATTTGCGCTTAAATTCTGTATAATTTAGATTATGTATTTATATATATACACAGAATTTAAGCGAAAATAATTCTTAAATATATACATGCATGTGTGTGTATTTATATATACAAAATAATTATATACAGCACACACAAATATATTATGTAAACAGACTTTTATTTTGGATGCGATTAATCGCAATTAATTTTTGCACAGCCCTAAAAAGAAAAATAAACACAGCTTACAGTGGACACTGTTTTACACACTACATGCAATTGTTATTTTCAGTGGTGAACACTGTGGAAAAACTAAAATAGCAAGAGTCTTTTATATTACACCCCAGTAAAAAGGATTTCTCCAGGGATTTAAACCAAGAAAGTCTCCTATCGTGAGTCAGGGGTGAGCGAGTTTCCCCCGAGTGACATAAGCTGAACCCTTCTTCGCCTGTGTGTTTAGTGAGGCTTTGACCATGACCCGGAACAACTCCATAAACAAACCGCCTGTCACATGCATTACTCACTCCAACAGAGTAATTGACACATCAAGAAACCAATCATAAAAGAGACCTGTCCCGCCCTTTCACGCTTGTGCGGCCAGTGAAATCAATATAGATAAGAGCGTCTTTCCACAGCAGAAAACCAGACGGCATTTCAACACGTGTGTCACAAACGAAACATGCTAAAGTTGTACAAAATATAAGCTTGATCAGTTCCCAGCATGTGAGTTGAAGAGCTGGTTGTGTAATGCTCAGAGTACATTCTCTCCTGCACAAACAGGGTTGCGTAATGTACATGTAGACAGTGTACCCTTCTCCGTGCAGGTGGCCTATCTGTGTTTGCTCCCACACACACACTCTATAAGGAGACCATGATGCAATGCAGAAATTGCACACACATGGACTGGGGTACGATACCAAAAGACGGACGAGGTGTTCCCAGTCTTCCTTGGTGCATCCAAGGGAAAAGAGGTTGTCTGAAAATATGCTGCTCATAAACAAACAGCTTGTGTATTGTGGAGTTGAGCGTGTGTGGGATTGGAGGTGGGGCGGCGCTCTATTTCTGGTTGCACTCAGTCTCTTCCCTGTTCTCGCTTTCTTTCTTGTTCTATCTGTTCTCTCCAGAGAGGTAGAGAGGTAGAGGCAGTAAAAGTGTCACCGTGTAATGAATGGGCCCCCGATGGAGGGAGAGAAAGAGAGTTGGGGGGAGGAAGAGGAGAGACTGGTTGTTATTTGTCTGAGATTGAGGGAGGATAGCTAATGATGTGAGGCATGTAAACCTGAAGTGGCACTAAAGCATTTGTGTGTGTGTGTGTGTGTGGGAACCAGTGGGACCGTCCCAGTCCTGGATAACGGGAGATAAAGTGGGAACACAGATGTAGTGTTTCTGGGCCAGCCAGGTGTCACATACGGTATTGTTTGCAAATGTCTGAACATAGATAGGAAAGCTTTCAGTTGCACAGTCTCAACAAGGGTACCACTCCGCAAGTCCTTTCCAGGGACACCGGAGCCAGAGGGATACTTGTAGTCCACATCCTCGTTGTCTGGTTTTATGTTTAGTGACTGTTCTCTGGCACTAAAGCAAATTCCAAACGGATAAAGGTACCGGCGGCTTATCCCTACAGTAAGGAAGAAGTCTTATCCTGGTGTCTATCTACTAAGAGCGGTAGATCTGCACTTGATCTCTGCATTGGGGCGGCAGTGGCTCAGTGGTTTAAGTAGGTTGTCTACAAACCAGATGGTTGGTGGTTCAATCCCCGGTTCCACCTGACCAAATGTTGTGTCCATGAGCAAGACACCTAACCCCAGCTGCTCCCGACGAGCTGGATTGCACCTTGTATGACCGCCGTCAGTGTGTGAATGGGTGAATGTGAGGCAAATGTAAAGTGCTTTGGTAAATGGACTGCATTTATATAGCGCTTTCATAGACCAAAGCGCTTTACATATTACCCCACATTCACCCATTCATACACCGACGGCGGTGTCAGCCAAGGCGCCATCCAGCTCGTCGGGAGCAGTGTCTTGCTCATGGACACCTCGACACTTGGTCAGGTGGAACCGAGGATTGAACCACCAACCTTTCGGTTTGTAGACAACCCACATGAACCACTTCCAAACAGATAAAGCCACTGCCAATGGTGAACCACTGCCGCCCACCATTGGTGGCCATTGGGTCAATGAAAGCGCTATATAAATGCAGTCCATTTACCATTGAAGTCTATCAATCTCTCCACTCTGCTGATTTATCAAAGGTTACATGTTTTAGAGAAGTATCGTATTCCCACAGAGCAGGCCTTAAACACTTGGCAAAGATTAACAATCGCCTGACCTACAAAAAGGACACAAACCTTTTCTAAATGCGTCTTAAATGCACTGAGAACAAACAAACCCCAATAATAACATGCACTAAACGATGTTGACAGTGTGCCACAGGTGGCGTGGCATCTGAGGTTTCTGCCTCAAGGTCTTCTGGAAAACTGTTGGCCCTGTGTTGGTTTCCATCCTCTTTACCCTCGGGGAAGTCTGGGTGGCAATCGTTTGGGTTTTATGACCCTTTTCTGCCTCCCCAGCAGAAGAAGCAAATGCTCAGCTGGGTCTAGACAGACGCTGGTGATATTGTTCTCCTCAAGGCATAGGTTGGCACACAACAAAAACAACAGTTTTGCCCCCAGAGTTGTGCCCCAATGATACATGGATACACTAGTTATTAAACAGATACATTTTTATTTGCCAAACTATACTATATAAGACGTATATAATGGGGAAATAGCCATATGTTGAGAATCTACAAGGTATCTTTCGATAAGTCCCCCATCAGAGATTGATCAAGAGTGTGGTCAGGCTACGATAAGGCTACCAAAAAAAAGATCTTATCCTCCCTTTAAAGCCAAAAAATTGTGAAATCCAAGCTTTCCTTTTCCCTAATCCTAGAGAGAGACTGCAAGAATGATCTCAACTGCTTCAATAGCCAAGAAGACCTTTGTGTCTGAGGCGGCGGAAGATTCATGAGTGGATGTTTTTCTGGTTTCTTCAATTGATCATTGTATTGGAGTCATTAGATAGTAAATCAATGCTTTTTCTTTCTGCACAACTGCGCCGTTTTTTTCTAAGGCCGGCCTTGATCCTCGAAACAAAAATGTATGTGCACCAACTCACAAATCCAGTTTGAATAATCTTTATATGACATACCCCCCCCCCCGCCCCTTACATTAATCTGCTATTTACATGTTTCGCATTCTTCGAGTACCTATTCCATAATGTTTTCTGTGTATTTGTTTGGTTGGTACTATGCCATGATTATGATAAACATTTAGTAGCTTGCTATATATCATAATACATCATCTACTTTGGTACTTTTTAGTGTGTCTAGTTTGAAATGACTGTCTGGTTGTGTGCAGCAAGAACACACACACATATACCCAGATTTCCGCAGTCAAAAGTGTAATGTAAAGAACTTCGGTGTTACTGATATGGCCATGAGCATTATACGGTCCCCTCCAGGACAGGCCAGTGTAGTGATGCAAGACAAAAGGTGACTTTCAGAGGTAAACGGATCTCCCATTGACCCCAGCATACGTCTGCATCACTTCCTGTACGCACAGCCCTGGCTGTAACCAAAAGCCTTTCCCTGAACACTCACAATATATCCGCTTAATCTACCCCCATTTACGATGACACACTCAATCTGTATCACTCTCCCGTTCCCTCTGCCTGTTCCAATGGAGGAAGAGAGGCATTATGACATCATGTCCTGTAACAAAGCCATCACGGCAGCTGATGTGTGCGACCGCGTGCCTGATCTCTGACCGGGTCTGATCGCTCCGCATCTGTGGAAACAGAGCTGTACCACATGCCAGGTGTTTAATATCAGCGCCGCGTGGTGCAATTACCCCGCAGAAATGAGCTTTTAATTCCGTTTTATTGGCCCAATATTGCTTCTGGTGTTTAGGTTTTTAAACATTATAA